TTCTTCTTTCTTTCGTCTTATTCTTGTAATATAGAAAATAGAAAAGGACAGAAGTTCAGCTGTGTCCGAACTCACTCTAGTAACCACCAAATAACCAACCAAATGACATCGTGAAATAATTTTATTTGCCGATTAATCATGTTTTTTGTTTCGGTGCCCGCCTGCGGGTTAATACGGTGTCGACAAATAAAATAACTGCCGACTCTGAAGTTCGCTGGTGTGTTTGCTTGCTAAGCGTTTTCTACGGTCCCCGTCCCGACCTGTCCACAAAACCATAAAAACGCTGATAAAGTATTCAACATCCGACGTAAACAAACAATCAGGCCGATTGAGAGAACGCCGGCTACTCCGGGTCCGTGATGAACTCGGAGTTTTCCAGTTTTCGTCAGGGGCCGGTGAAAACAACGTGACATCACCTTTTTCTTTGTTCCTTTGCAGGACTTGCCAACGTGAGAATACAACGATTTTAATAAAAAATCGTCGTTCGACTCCTGACAAACCCACGGTCAACGGGTCTATATAGACTATAAAACAGTGATATCACGATATTCTGAATATTCGAGATAGTAATAGTCGTGATATCCCGAGACCATGAGAGTACCTTGTATTTTGACAATTTGATGAGACCATATGAACATGAATTCGCGAGATTAACGAAGTGGGCGACATCTAGGTTACATAATACGAACTTCAAACTGGGGGAAAACAAACTGTTGTCTATGGATAAAGTGCATAGACTACATTGCATTCAGCTTGCTGTAGCTGTAGTCAAACTTGTCATTGACATGAAGTTGGTAGTGATGATGGTTGAGTTGGTTAATTTTTTCACATTATTACATTTTTATTAGTTTAGTGAACTGTGAACGGGTGAAGCATTGGATATAGTTTGAACAATTCAAACTAATTATGACGAGCAAATCAATTGACATAAAAGAACAGTTACAACATGTTTACAATACCCAGATTGTCCTGCTTTGCATAAACAAATACAAATCCATTGTTCTACAGGAGTTCTTCTGGAAACCAACTTCAATTTTACTTCATGTGGGGAAGATTTCATCGCCGAAGTTTGTAGACTAAGTGCAAAAATGTGCCTTTTGTTGAAGCCTTCTGCCTCACACAAAATCACATGATTAGTATGGAGAACTGCTTCTCCTTCCACTACTGGTCGGCTTTTTCCGTCTATATAAATAGAGCAAAATATCTGCCAAAAGTACATCTACAACAGGCATTATTAGCGTTTTCGATCGAATATTGACAACTATTAATGCATCCCTAGCACCTAGCAAATTGATTTATCTCACGTTTATGTTCAAGAAAATATACTTCCTCTATAGTTTTCCATATCAATTTAACTGTGTACTCTTCATATTCCTCACCATACTTTCCACACAATCTTTCCAGGATTTTGGCGATCACGAGAGTTGGGGTAGAGTCGCACAAAATTCATAGTTTTTCTTCTGGCAAAAAAACAAAAATTGTTCCAGGCAGACTCTTTACTCTTTTGTTATTTTCCCCAAAACGACATTCAAATTTTTAAGTGACTGATATAAAATGTCAAACTTACTAGTTTCAAACTTTGACAGTCACAGCACTCTTATGCTGTCGAACAGAATAGCCATTCATAATTATTATGTTTGTTTACCTTAATAGCCGCTGATATCGCTTATCATATGACTTCAATTATGAAATTTCATAGATGCAGCCAGGTGTGAATGAAATAATCAAGAATAATCGCGATACAAAATAACACGTCGCTCCATCTGACGGTAACAATTTGAACAATCCTGAGCGGTTTGTTTTGAAGGATTGACCAATGATCAAAAACGAAAAACAAATGTGAACCAATAGAAACGAAGTAAACAGACCGCTTTGAGAGCTTTCAAAAACTTTGATAGGTGGCGAAGGCTTATTATTTTCTATCGCGAATAATCACGAAATGCATATGGATCAAAGGAAAAATGTCGGGTATCAATCTTTTTTCTACAAAAATAGCAATCTCTATTTTAATCGATATCTTGTATACCTACCGTTTTATAGAAAATCGCACTTTATTATTAAATAAATAGTTATTTATGTATTAAGGGAATTATGAGGGCCTTAATTACCGATGGCAAATGCCAGAGGTTATTAAGGCTCTATAATTCCCGTGATACATAGATAATTTTATTTCTGACTGATTTCATTCATTAGATACCTTCCCGATCAGAAGTTAGACATGTTTTTCCGTATAGTTTCAATGTCATCAGAACGTCAGATGATGATCTTGACTACCGCGAATAGGAGATTCCTTATTGCTACGTTATTGCGTGGTTGTTGCTATGCATTTCTTATTTAATTTTAGCTAGAGGGAATTATAGCATTTATAACATCCCAAGGGAGTTATGACCCTCATTATAGATATCGTAACTAAGACGATATAAGCTTATAATGTCACTGTCAGAAATAAAACTCTTATCATGGTACAGTTGCAGAGTCAATGTCATATTTGACATGAAATTATTTTGACTCTATTCAATAATAATTTATGAAGAGACAATTCATGGACTGATGGAGAATTACAAAAAATATTCTATCTTTTTCGGAAAATGTGTTTTTATATTTTATTATTTCTTGGTCGTGGAAAAAATAGTGCATAATATGCAACGATCAAGTAATGACTATTCAATCAAGCTACTAGCCACAATGGACCCTTAGTGGTCGAGTGGAGGAATAGACCCACTCACTTTCAACCCACTGACTCATTCTTTAAAGAAAGAACCATTTCCTATTAAATAGTCTGAAAAAAATTCAAGAAAAAAAAGTATGTCAATTGAAGGAATCCTGATAGGCGATGATCGAATCAAAATTTTCGCATGTTTCATCAAAAACCTATCAAAGTGTTTCATTTGTTTGCTATGTCATCAAGCTGCTTGACGAAAATTCGATTGATGACGTCTGAGTTTAGCAATATTGATTTTTAAATAAAAAAAATGACTTCTGCACCGCCACTTTTGATTGTCATTGAGAAGGCAGTTATTTTGCTCTATCGAATATCGTAAATATATCTACATGGTTCCTTCAACATTCTCGACCTAAGTCTATTTCCGGTAAAATCAGACATTATATTTAATTGTTTTCTCATCGAAAATATGGGTATTAACTTTAACTACGATCCATATGTCAAAAGTCTGGAATAAAAACAACTGAATGACCCCCTCTGGCCAATTATTTAGTCACCTGATATAGTCTCCCGTTTCACAATATAGGTATCATTTATTCATTATAAAATAACTATTGATTATTGCTTGTTTAGTAATTTATTCCGTTGTGATTATTTTAAATCAGAATCAGAAATGGCAAGTTCAAGGACGTAAGGTTGTAGTGTATCATAGTAATATAAAAACAAAAAGTACAATATCTTGCATTCCCACAAATTGCAACAAGAAATAATTGAAACAACTCCAAAGATTTATAACCTCTAGAGTATGTACCTATTCATACAGTTCATTACAAATTACAAGTCCGAGTATACGTGCAATTACCGTTTCTATTAACCTTGGTCACAGAACAATAGACTGAGAACGAGTTATGTCACGAAGATATACGCTCGGATATATATACATGGGATAATGTAAGATGTATAAGAAGGCATGAGCAATGAACGAGCATTTTAAAATTACTAACGGAAGAGTACCCACATTCTTGCTATACATTTTTTGTACCTGTTTCTTGTTGTGTACGCTACTAACCAAGGTTTTTTTATTGTGATAAATTATGCCATAGTCAGTTCTCACAAAAGATTACGCATTCTATCCTCCTATGTAATATAATATACAGTCGAAATACCTACTAGCCAACATTTATAAATGAAATATTTCTCTGTCTTCTGCGGCAGCCTTGTGTTTTATATACGCGATTTAAATTGAGTAACGTGGATTATTTTTCTTGTCACGTACGAATAAAAATGATGCTGCATTATGAATGGGCAAACAAAACAGAAGAGGAGAGAGAGCTCTGTGCTTTCCACATACTCGAAACATTTTTATTGTTGTATTTTTTTTTCAACCGTTTACAATGCTATACCAAATTGCTGTTCCCGGGGATATGTAATTTCGTTTTAGACAATTAAACACCCTAGGTTAATATACTTTGGTCATCTTTGAGGGAAAGTGGTAATTTCTGACATAATCCCATCCAAGATTTCAGTTTTGGTAGAAGGCAGGCACTGCGCAATATACCCTCAAAAATACCATCATGATTCTTGGTCTACTGAATACAAGAATGGATTAGAACTAAATATCGCTAAACAGTTAGCACATAATACTTAATTTCCACAGACATCAACAGAAAATACTTTTCATCTATGTATACTAACCTCTTTTCAGGAAAAACTCTCATATTTCTTGAATTCTTGTTAAACAATAACACTCAGAATATCTCTCAGAATTTTGTGAATACCTCTCCTCCCTATTGATTACGAAATTTCATATTCTGAACAAAATTTTAACGATCAGAACATTTGGAGAAAAATTCAGACAAATGTCAAAATCCTTGTAAGATCTACAAATTAGGGTTCCTAATACTCAAAGCTCAGTCGCCAATAAATTTTTGCCTTCATGAAAAATTACAATGAAACTGATCGTATGAATTGCTTCTCTTCCTCTCCTTATCTCTTGAGAATTTCAATCGAATATCAAAAGATTAGGCCCTTCTCAAGCATTTTCCTTGAAATTATTACCTGTAATCACAATCACATTTGATTTTTATCAAGTAAATACTTCCATTGTTCTTGCTTCACAAAACATTGGACACACAGTGGCTAGTTGAAATTGATTTTCTTATCAATTTGAACATGATTTTCATCCATCATGTGACTTTTACTTCTCGTTGACCAATTTATCTTCGATACCAAAGGCTGAAGAGGAACTCAAGTGAGTTCCAAAACATGCCCCGAATGATTCCTCGAAGTAGTGGCGACGATTCCGATCAATACTAATCATGTCTATTTTCCCTTTCAGATGGTGCAAAAGCTATCTCTCACGACGTTCTACTTCTTCTTCCTCGCAATCCTCATGGCCAACCTGTCGATAGCCACGGCCTTGGGCTGTCCGGCAGGCTGCATGTGCAACGACGACACGTACGTAGTCCAGTGCGAACGCAGCAAGCTCGACGTCATTCCCATCACTCTCAACCCGGCCATCCAGAGGCTCGTCCTCAGGAACAACAAGATAAAAACCGTGGACGCCGCCTTCCAGTTCTACAGGGACCTGCAGTACGTCGATCTGTCCAGCAACCACTTGGTGAACATCCCCACCAAGAGCTTCCTGCATCAGGAGAAGCTGCAGGAGCTGCACCTGAACAAGAACAAGCTCTCCTCTATCAACAACAAGACTTTCCAAGGCTTGAAGTCGTTGACGGTGCTTAATCTCAGGGAGAACTTCCTGGAGGAGCTAGCTAAAGGCTTGTTCTCGATTTTGCCGAGGCTGGAAGAGCTGAATCTTGGCCAGAACAGGATATCCAAGATCGATCCTCTTGCTTTCGAGGGGCTGCTGAGCCTGAGGGTGCTCTATTTGGATGATAACGCCTTAAGCACAGTCCCTACCCCTTCCTTCTCTGTCTTGGGTATGTAACGCTTTTTTATTTCACATATTCGATACAACCTGTACCGACTTTCGGTACTTTTATAACCATAGCAGGTAGAATTTCGGGATACGCTGACGAGACGGGATGAGCTTGTGGAGAACATCAATATCGAGACCGAGAGGCAGTTAGAATTGAGTACTCAGCGCTATGTTGTTTTTCATATGTATGTGCACGTTCAGATCGGAAGATCTGGTTTATATCCTATTATATTGTAGGTCACTTGGTATTCTGATTGACTGTTGGTCAGGGTTGCCTTTATAGCACGTATACTGACTGTCGATCAGGGAAGCCTTTGTAGCTCGTATTCCTATAAGTCAAAATAATAGCACTCAGCAGTTGTCTATGCTATTGACCCCTACGCCTCGAAACACGTTCTGATACTCTAGTGGGTCAGTATAAGCGAGCCGATGACGTGACAGAAACTGTCATTGCGTCTTCAGATCAATCAGACATAACCACAAATAAATTAATGGAAAAAGCGGGAACTGACAGTACTCTACATGACATAAATTTCAAAGGTTTGACAAATTGAAAGAATAAGGAGAAAGATGCAAGTTTGTGCAGAGATCACAATAGCCACCATGGAGATCATGGTCGATCATCTGATGATGAAACAGCAGCAATTTCCTGAATTGACTGACTCAAACAGATTTCACATCCCTGTTCAACCAAGAAGTCTTTAGATCATCTTCGTATACGAACTCTTGTTATAATTTTGTGAAAACATATAGCCACTTTGTGGAACTCTGATGTATTGGGGCTAGCACCATCGTTCACATGCATCTGCAGTATCAGTGAGTCTTTATTGAAGAATGAAATAGTCTCGTCATCTCCTCGACATTTAATGGGTTAACATTGTTATGTTACAATAGGGAGGACATCTGTATCGGGATTATTCATTCTTCAACTTCTACCACTCCATGGACTTCTTCACACGTTCAGTCTTTATTATTTGTTTCATGTTCTCCACTCTCATTGCTTTATTGTCTCGTCCGATATACTACCTCGACTCGAGTAGAACTGCTCTTTGGTGTCCCAGTGAATCTATCATCGAGCTCCTTTGGTAAGATTTCGCTTTATTCCTATGACATTTTTACAGGTAGTCTAGCAGAGCTCCACGTCGGTCTGAACGGCTTCACGTCGTTACCTGACGAAGCTTTCAGTGGTCTGGGGAAACTATCGGTGCTGGATATTAGCAGCGGAGGTCTGTCCAACATCAGCTCGAACGCTTTCAAAGGAATGACAGGTTTGAGGAGTCTGAATCTGGCGGACAATCGGTTGCAGAGGATCCCCACTGACCAGCTGGGGCATCTGGTGAGGCTGGAGGACTTGACTATTGGTCAGAATGAGTTCAGCAGCCTCGCGAAGGGGTCCTTCAAAGGGTTGACCAACTTGAGGAGGATTGATATCACAGGTTAGTTCCAATATGACATAACCAATGTTCCTGAATCTGAAAAATACTAATACTAACTCAAAATTGTAGGTCTTGAAAAAAATTGATATTTTGATATTTTTCAATTCATAAAGGTGGTGAAAAGTAACTTTCCTGTTAGTTCAGAATATACCAGGTGTCCAAAGTTATCGTATACAGGCAATATATCTCGCTTATTTGACAAGATAATTGAAAAATAGAAGAAAATGCTTCAAATGGCATCGAAGTACCTTCCTAATATATCGAAGACTGGAACCTTTGGCACGATAATACACTACGCACTGTTTTACCTCTAATCAAACTGATTTTTTACGCATCGACACGTGTTTTAGGAGAAGATTGAAATAGATATTTACGTAATCAGTTAGGAAACGCGTTGTTTTGTGTAACGATGGGATTTTGCGGGACGAGCGAAGCGAGATCCCGCAACATCACAGAGTTACACAAAATGGCGTTTCCTAACGTGTCACGTACAATATTTTTTCTAATTTTGACGAAACATTTCGCATGAACAAAAATAATGACCAGTTTTACATGAGTTCTGCCGACTCTTGTTGTGTGAAATGAATGAATGAAATGAACATTACATCACCAGTTATGTAAAATTTTACTTTACGCAACTGGTTACGTAAAGTAAGACGTTTCAAAACTTCCGTCAGTTTTGAAAAGTGTCACATTACATGTCAAAATTAGAAAAAGTAACTTTCCTGTTAGTTCAAAATATACCAGGTGACCTAAGTTATCGTATACAGGCAATATCTCGCTTATTTGACAAGATAATTATTGTAAAATCGAAAAATTGCTCTAAATGGCATCGAAGTACCTTCCTCATATATTGAAGACTGGAACCTTTGGCACGATAATACACTACGCACTGTTTTACTTCTAATAAACTGATTTTTTACGCATCGACACGTGTTTTAGGAGAAGATTGAAAATAATTTTTTGACGAAATAGAGAATATTCACCACAGTTTTGTATATATATTTTTTTACATCATCAAAAAGTAGAGATTAAAACGGACAAAAATCCCTTCGACATGTGTTTTAGGAGAAGATTAAAAACTATTTTGATAACGAATTTACCACAGTTTTGTATATATATTTTTTTACATCATCAAAAAGTAGAGATTAAAACGGACAAAAATCCCTTCGACTTTTTTGAAAGTGCAGATATTTTGACGCGAGAATTTTCGATTGAAAATTAGTGTGTTTTTTTTATATCAAGTCCAAATATGGTGAAATAAATGAATATTTCAAATCAAAAAAATTACAGTGTATTGGGACATAAAGAGGTGAAAATTTTAAAAGAAATATTCTCAGATATAATTATGAACATAAAAAAATGGATATATACGGAGTGTTTCAGATTTAAATGTACATACGATACCTGTAGATAGGGGACACTGTGATGATTCGAAATTACCCCCCTTTGATGTGTCTACCGTTTTTTATAACTGGAATACAGGACGATATCTTGATTTTGGCAAAATCATCATCTGGTCATAGCTTTTGAACCACTTTGTATAATCCATCTATACTTGGTAGAACTATTTCACTTATATTACCCATCAAAACTGAATGGAAATCGGGATCAGAATCCAGGTCCGTCTTGAGGAAAATGTTACTAAACAACCACTGAATTCGCAATTTTTTGACATCAAATCACAGAATTAGACTGCCTATAACGCAGGTGTCCCTACTGTTAAAAACTTAAAATGTCACGTCGATAATCTTCAGATTTCAAAATAATGTAATATCTTCACAATATTGATTCGTCCTTTCTTCTGTCACAAAAAAAATAGTGTATTATACACGGGAAAAATATTAGATTTTAGCTCACGACAACGACAACAACAACACAACCTGGAGCTAAAATCTACTACTTTTTTCCCTTGTATAATAAATAACTATTTTTCACTTTTTACCGTATTCAAAGGCTTCAGCACTGGTCTAATTAAATTTCGTTTCAGGTGCCAACAACCTGGAACACATCGAGAAAGGCGCCTTCGGCGACAACCTCAACCTGGAAACCATCGTCCTGGTGAGCAACAAGCGCCTGGAGAACCTCGCCGACGGCGCCTTGGTCGGGCTGCCCAACCTGCGCCACCTGGTGCTGCGCGAGAACTCCTTCCGAACGCTGTCGGAGTCGGTGACCAGCTGGGGCGAACTGCGCGCTTTGGAGCTCACCGACAACCCCATCAACTGCGACTGTCAGCTGCTGTGGCTGCTCAACTCCATCAACTCCAAGAACATCACCAACGTGCAGTGTTCCACGCCGAAGCGGCTGCGGGACAAGTCGCTGAGGACGCTGACAGCCGACGACCTAGGTGAGAGATGTTTCTAATTCCTGTTATTACTTTTGCAATTCGCGGGAATCAATGTTACCAGGTGGCGCTTGGTTTTCATCGTTCCATGTCAAAGCCACGTCAAAACTGGGGGAAAACAAACTCAATCCCATTAGTGCCATTAGCGTGTGTACTGTGTACTGATAAGAGTGATAACACTTTATATCATTGACAAGTTTGACAACTACAGCTACAGCAAGATGTATGCAATTCTGGTATACGCACTTCAATCCTTTCCTGTTTTACAATTCCTTGATTTTCGCCTACTTCGATGAACATAACATGGCGTGGGTGAATGTCGCTAAATTTAGTCTGGTGCCGTACCAAAATTACAGGCATCAATGTGACAATTGTGACCGAATTGTGACCAATGAAGATAGGGAATACATTTTGCGATTTAGCCGCATCAAGGTTGGTAGAACTGATGTTGATCATAAGTTCTAAGAATCACGCCATCTACCATTCGATATGTGAACCCCACGTCATCGTCTGAAATTCAATTGTTTATATCAAGAACCAGTCTGACGAAACAAATGAAGAGTGAGCGCACCAGAGGTTTATTTCATCAATTATGCAATGTAGACTACATATTATGCACTTTATCCATAGACAATGGTTCGTTTTCCCCCAGTTTGAAGTTCGTATTATGTAACCTAGTGAGTACTTGTCATGTTATATCAATACATTCTTGTGACAGTCAAGTTTTCTGTCTTCTGTACTTGTGTTCCCAGATTTCCCAACTAACTGTCACAATCTGTGTAACTGTTTCAGTATCAATTTGGTCTCAGTTACCGTTATCATTATTAGTATTAAATTGTTATAACACCCGATTCTCATTTTTTTATGGAATTGAAGAAAAATAATTTCCCTTACTTAATAAATCAATTTTGGATTCCAACTTCTTGTCATTCCAAAAAACTTGCATTGATTATTTCAAATCAAAATAACTCGAAAACAGTTGCTCGCAGCGACCTCTACCAAGAATATATTTCTCACACAAAAGTGTTCTAGAAATCTATTTTCATACTATGAAACGTTATACAGGTACGCACAAAAAAGTTATGACTTTTCAAAAGACTCAAAAGAAAAGTAGGTGGTGCCACTCGCACGAAAGAGACAAACTAACATAAAATTTTATATTGTCATTGAAAAATACCCCTAGATACCAAATTTCATTCCAATATCACAATTATTTCGAAATTTATTAACGAGAAACCAAAATAAGAATTCAACTTTGACACTCTGTTTCTCAGAAATGGATAATTTTCTTATTTTGACGTCAGCAACATGATCCTGAATTTTCTACACGTACTTAAGAAACACCCTGTATAACGTGATTATTTAGTTCCATTAGGTGTCTTATTTCACTCGATAATACCCACCCATATGGCACTCGACATCCTGGGGACGTCCAGTTTAGGTCCGATTTAGGTCTGAACGTCCAGGACCTTTTCAAGACGTACTGAAAACGTTCATTTCTGGACGTACTGGGTTCGTACGATTATGATGTACTGGGTACGTCCAACTCTGGACGTTATCAACTTTTTGTGGACGGGATTGAATAAATCGTATAATGATAATTGAAATCATTCCATATAATTTCTACCCTCGATCACTGATAGGTATCTATATCCATATAGGAACCTCGCAAACATGAACCCATGAACCTAATAAATTCAATTCTTTTTTTACTGGCCGTACGACCCAATCACAAACATATATTTAGGTATTCTCTGCCGTGATCATCTAATTCTATGAAAGTATATATCGATGTGAAGGAACAACCGACATTCGCACATAATCTCATCGTCAATAAGTAGTCTTCATAGAGTAATAGGTAGAGCATCTGGTCGGTAATCTGTAGGTCGTGGGATCGATCCCGGTAGGAGCGTTTTTTTATAATTTTTTTTATTCAAAATAAGATTTTTTCTACTCAGTCTAGATCTCTTTTTAGCTGTCTGTACTAGGGACGTACAAATGCGCGGAATCTGGACGTCCCCCGTACGTACGGTACGTCTGGCCGGACGTTTTCAGTACGTTTTGAGGACGTACTTATGCTATATGGGCACACACCGATGAACAGCACTGTGCCTAGACGACGATGGCCTTTTCAAAATGTAGGCGATATCGAAAGATTTCCTTCCAAGTGAAAGTGATTACACCATTTAAATTTCTATATATCTATTCTAGGTTGCTCCTTCGGGGACCCGAGGCAGCAGGCCATCATCATAACGTTCTGCGTGAGCGCCACCATCCTTCTGGGCATGCTCGGGCTGTTCCTGTTCCGGTATAGGCAGCGGGTGCGCGAGGCCCTCAAGGACTACAAGTGGAACAAGCGGGCCATCAGCAGGAAGGAGCACGAGTACCAGAAGACGTTTCCCGACGAGGATTACGGCGCACGCGTCGGCCAGCACCATATCAAGCAGATACCGGTGACGGAGTTGTAGCTAGAACTCAGCGCGCCACCTTCTGGGGTGAGTTAAATTATTTGACTTGCCAGTGTCTGATGCACAGTGGAAAGTCTTGAACTCAAGGTTATGTCAATATTTTCCAACGTAACTCTATAGCAACTATTCCACCCCACACAGTCACTCCTCCACCTCCAAAAGCCACCCTTGCCTCCATATTTTCTTCCATAAACCTTTCATTTCTTCCTCTCCATACCAACACACGCCCATCTTTGCGAAACAAGTTGAACCTACTCTCATCCGTAAACATACACCTATTCCACTCTGCTATTCCCCAGTTTTGATATCTTTGTCCCCACAATCGCCTTGCCTCTCGGTGTACAGGTTTCAATAAGGAACAGGCTGCTCGTTTCCTTGCTTGTAATCCAAGATCGTGGATACGGCGTCGGATCGTCTGAGTAGAAACCTGTACAGTAGCCTCGATCAAATACCGACGAATTTTGGAGGCTGTTGAAGTCCGTGTTCGCCGTACAATTCTCCCAATGAGGCGGTCTTGAGCAGGAGTGGTTTTCTTTGTTGTTCCCCTTCTTGGCCCCCTCGACTGGTACAAAATATTCCCAGCATTAGCTCGGAGATAAGCCCTTTGAATGGATCGGACTGTCGTGTTTAGCAGATCCGCGATTTGGAGGGAAGATGACCCTTGTTCCCTCATTTGTGGAATCAGTTCCAACTGGTCGGGCGATAGATGCGGCATCGAAACTATCAAAATCTGTTTATGATTCTAAAACGACTTCTAACCTGACTTGTCAGTCACTTACTGTGATTCTTGTAACGTTGGTTACGGGCCATGCATTACAGAGGAGAAATGGTCTGATGTTTTTGCAAGAACATGTTTCAATTGTGTTTTCTTACGCACATTCTTGACTACTGAGAGCGAGGAAAATATGGACGCATTCAGAATGAATTGTTTTTTCGAGAACAAGTTGATTTTCATTCAATTCTCCTCCCAACCGAGATTCGGAGGGCGTTCCAGATTTGGGTCACTTTCAAGAAAACTCTAGATCTTTGATAGCCATTTTGAGTCAATTCTGATATTCAGATCTCTTCATCTGGAGTTTTATCTTCAAAATGAGCCTTAGATTTCCAAAATCGGTTGACGTGGAAAAAAGTTATGGCTGCAAAACCAAAAAGTTGATTTTTTGAGATCACTCTGTAAATAAGAGAGATAGGAAGTTGATTCGCGAAATATCTCGAGGTAATGAGATCATCTTCATGCCTCTGTTGTCGAAGTTAGGAAAAAAAAAATTTTCACCATTTGAGAGCCTTTTGAATATTCCGAAAATTTGTACAGTGTCGGAAAACACCATGTAGAGATTTTATGTGGATACCCTTCTGTTTCAATGAAGTACGAGATTATAGCTGAAGGACTGGGCTATTGAACAGTGTGAACCAAATACAAATTGTTCTAAACTGAAAAAAGTTATTCACATTATAACAGGGGCGACATTTTGGTGTGCGACGAAATTAGTGTTGAGTAGTTTAGTTATGAATGAGACCATCTTTATTGCATTTATCTGTTTGATAGACACTTGCATCACTCAATCACCTCAATTTTTCAGTTAAAGACTTCCCACTGTGAGTGAGACCATCATTCTTGTATGTATCTGTTTGATAGACAAAAAGAATCGGCACTCAATCACATTTCAATTCCTTATCAAGCAGATGCCGATGACAGAGTTGTAGCTAGAACTTAGCGCGCCACCTTCTGGGGTGAGTTGAATTATTTGACTGGCCAGTGTCTGATGCACAGTGGTAGGTCTAGATCTCAAAATTATGCCAATATTCTTGCATTTATCTGTTTGATGAACAAAAAGAATCGTCACTCAATCACCTTTCAATTCCTTATCAAGCAGATGCCGATGACGGAGTTTTAGCTAGAACTTATCGCCTATTTTAACAACAAACGAAGACGGCAATATATTTTCATCACTTAGAGATTGTTAGATTAGATTAGATTTAGAATGGGGCCTTCGGGCTATCTGCCCCCACACCGCGACCTTCTCAGATCTATTGTGTCTGTCCTCAAAATCGATTAGAGTTCTTCGAATAGCCCCGTCTTCTCTATGAGACTCCATAGGCTAGCTTTCAGATCCCCTGTGTATCTCTGGGCTTCTGGTTTTTCCTCACCCAGCGTAAGGAACCTTAGTCTTGACAAGCCCTCACAGTGGCAAAGTATGTGTACTGCTGTTTCCTCCTCTTCCTGACAGAACCTGCACAGCAGTTCTTCAGTCAGACCTATCGTACTCATGTGTTTGTTGAGCCTACAATGCCCTGTGAGAAGTCCCACTAGTATTCTAGTTGAACTTCGTTTCTGGCTTAGTAGATATTCTGTGAATGTTGGCGATGGTTTTTTAATAAACTCTTTTGCCTGTCTCATTCCTGGTAGAGATTGTTACTGCGCATGTCAGCATATCACAGTTGGATAAGGCGGAAATTTTGAAATCCTATCCTGCCATGACTCAACTTCACTGAAGAAAAAACTAAAGCATGGTTTTTGTGCGTTCATTCGTGAAAGATTATTGCAAATTTAATGTCACGATGTAACAAACTATTCATCGAAAGAGTACATTTGGAATGAACGTCATTAACTAACACCTCTAACTTTCTTCTAGTGTACAGAAGTTAATCTACTGCGTCTTAGCACCCTGGTCATAGAAAAACTGACAAAAATTTTCCAACTCATGAGAATATATGTCCGTTCCAGCTCCTGAACAATGATTTTTGTGAAGTAGCAATAGTGCACCATATTACAGAATTTAATTCTGTTGTCAGATATATTGAGGCATACTTAAGTCACATATCTTTAATTGAGGATACGGAAAAACTATGTTTTCCATTTTCCCCATTATTATTGACAAGATGCAACCTAAGAAAGCTCCAAAAGATGCAATTGATAGTTATTGCATATGGTAAATTGTCCGACCGACAACGACTGTCTATTGAGACACCAGAACTGGTTACCACCTTAACGTTCTAGATGTAATTATAGAGATCCTAGATCAGAGTTGCTTCAATTGTCAGCAAGGGCGAGCTATTGCTGTTTCTGTTCATCAGCCCCCATAAGTCGTCCTCGGTCCGCTCAAAAATAAAACATCGGAAAAAACAACTATTTCTAATCTGCTATTTTTTTTTTTCAGGTATTCTGTTTAGACGGAGAGGGTAGGCGTGCGACGAAGGGCGGCCCGCGAGGCACGCTGCCCGCCAGCGGTTTCACCTACATGCCGGGCGACCGGTGCAGGGCCCACCCGATGCGGTCTCTCAACGGGGGCAGCAACGGGGGCAGCCTGACGCGCAACGGGCTGCCCCAGTGCCATGTGGACCTGTACCAGCGCTAGAGGGCATAGGGCGGGGCGGCCAAGAAAGAAGAAGAATTGTCGAGCAATAATACGCGAATCCATTCCAGTGTGTGATGTTTCGAAAGAATATAGAGACTGTACAGTAGCTGCTAGGTGTTATCTCGGATTGATGGTCGGTAGGGTCTCTTGTCAAGTGGGGAATTTTCCAGAATTTGACCTCAATGAGGGCTAACACTATTTTATTGTCCATCAGATCGCGCTACTGAGACGTGAATTTAATCGACTCACTCTAGTGGGGTTAGAGTTTTGGGATTTTTTACTTTGACATTGACCTCATGCTCTAGTAACGCCAACAGGTGAGACTGAAACGATAGCCCTCATTACGGCATTTCTCCTGAATTTTGTTGCATTTGACGGATTTCAAGATGACGTTGCTATGACATTCAGCAATAAAAAGAACATGTCCAACTTCCTAAACTACCTGTAGTGTTGGAAGAAAATGTAAATCGATTATATTTTCAGAAGTAAGACATTACGTTTTGTGAGATTGGCTGAAAATTGGTTCAAAATGTCAAATGTGATTAAAATCGGTGCCACTGTCAAAATAATAGTATTTCAAGATCAAAGCCGGTTGATTGAAAATAGAGTGCAAGAACAACTTCTTGGACTCTTCCTTTTCAAACTATAGTCCACTCCAACTCAGAAGACAGCATTGGCAACCATAGGGAAGCGTTGACCTTCACTTTGATTGGCTAATATTGGGGGCAATATTACACCTGACTAATATTATGACCTGTGACGTGACGTAAACGATGAAGTTTCCTTTGTGGAAAGATGAATGGCTATGATTTTGAATTAGGCGCCATTATTTAATTCATCAGTGTAAACATTCCTTCAGAGGCAGCGCCACCTACTGTCTTCTTGTTTGGACATTGACAAAAGACAATGCATTTGACAAATGACACTCAATTCGGCCAGTAATTACACCATCAAAGATTGCAGTCAACTAATAGCACAAATTGGCTAACTCTTCTCTAATGGAATATCATTTCTCTCTCCTGAGATAAGATGACAATGAGAGTAGAGTCAGTAGTCTTCTATAATGTCTTATTACTATGTATGTTACTAGTTCCTCTATGCCCACTGTTAATGGTTCTCAAAACATTGATCAACGCCAAAATTTCCATCACTTTTGTATTGATGGCCTAAATTGGTGAAAGCAAAAAATAGCAAACTGATGTTTTTTTGACAAAGTATTCGCAACGTCATCTGATGAGATTGAAATCTTAGATATTTGTGTTCAATCAGTAAAAGTTCAGTCAACTGCATGGGCGTGTTTTTCATTCCATGGAAGAAAGTCCGCATTTTAATAATTCTGATAGAATTTATGATGGAATTGATGAAACAATGGAATATACAACATATTGATCTGGGTTATTACATTGATGAAAAATGGATTTTGTTGTGTTGTGTGTCAGTCGTCAGAATGTAGAGGCTAATATGATTTTATTGATCAATAGATCGACACTAACTCCTCTTAGAATCAATCAAGAATCTCGAAAATTTCGCAATATTTTTTGTTTCTTATCAAATTAAAGAACAATACTTAAAATGTGTCAATTGTCATATCAATCTCCTCCAATCCGCTGGATTCTTGCAAAGCAGATTGGAATTGCGCATTTTATTACAACAGTTTTATGGATTTCTATCAAAATTTCAGCAGAATTTTGCAATAGTTCCAAGGTATATTTGATTCATGAACGTGACGAATTTTTGGCATGAAAAACGCACCCATTATATAGTCTGACAGCCATGAGACAATCGCAGCCATATACGTATTAATAAACAATACGGATCATAACGGGTGCCAGGATGAAGCCAAAAATATGAAACAAATGAATATCCATAAGAATTTGGTGGCATGATACGCATGCGCCATGCGCTATTATAGTAGTCATCAAAGACATGCGTTTCGGTGGACAATGACGTTTACTAGCCTTTCAATCGAAGCAGTATGTGTCTGATCTTATCTCACTTTTCCTTATGGATAGTCATTTGTCTTCAAAAATCGGCTTCATGTTTCGCTATGGAAACAGATAGAGATTATCCGTATTGATTATCAATACGTATATGATCGCAGCACCAGCCATCAAATTTGTTCAACATCGACAAAAAATGCAATATACAGAGTGTGCCTGAAAGGTTTGTACAACATTTTAGCACATATTCCTCAGGTCAAAATAAACCAATTCAATGCAACTTACCTCAGTCCGAAGTTGGGGGCGCTAGTTAATTTGAAAAAGACGAGTACACTCCAAGAAAGTATTCTGAAAACTCAATTGTTGCACTGCTGATTCACTGACCGAATAACACCCACGATCCACGAAGATAACAACAAACACGTTTTATTCAAAATGTTTCAAATATTCCGGTGCGGCATTGATCACTAAAAACGAAATATCAGGAAATTAGCGGAGTTTTACAAGAGTACCTATTTTGCTTGAAAATGTTCAGACAAATATTTCCTCAACAAAAAAGTAAAAAACTACACTGAGAAAAAAGTAATAGCCCTTCTAAACCACAGGGAATGCATTGTCAAGCATCCTCTAATGGCCACAGTGAATACTAATTTTTGAAACGATACATGTAGAAATGTTCATGAATTCAGAGAAAATCGACTTTTGTTTTTTAACTTATATCGGAAACGGAGCATTTTCGGACTGAGGTAAGTTGATTTGAATCGGCTTATTCTTACCTCAGGAATATGTGTGAGATATTGAAGAGACCTTTCAGGGACACCCTATATATAGTTGAAGATTCTCAACAATTGCACTTCGAATACATAGATGTACCTATCCATTTGACAAGAGGCCCACTGAGAATCTGCTTCGTTTCATAAGCAATCCAAGAGAATCCGAATTTCCCGGTGATTTTTTTTTCAATTTTCGGTGTGATAATGTCACAGATTTCCATGTGATGACTTGAAAACCATCCACTGATGGTGGTTGAACCAGTATTTTGGAAATGATTAGATTCAAATCTAGTAATTTTCAGAGATCTTTGAAGAAAAACAATATCAAGATTCTAAAATGTTTGTCAATCCACCAACATACACATTAAATGAAATGATTGTGATATTTTATGACTGCATATTTTTAGGGTTAGAAACTCTTTTACTTTGAAAAAATGTGTTCATTTATATTCTTGAATCTAAGATATGTAGTCATAGTGTAACACCTATGATTTGTTCAGATAAATTGGCGAAATCATCATTTTTCTTGTACTATCAGGATTCAGTTTAGTTTTGCCTAGTTTTTCAAAATATCAGGAATTCGCCATTTTTTTGTTGATTTCGACTTTTCATCTGGAAAATACTTGTGAAAGGTTTCATGTTTTCAATGGACTTGAAAATATGTTAATCATTGTAAATAATATGCAATATTTCTATATATTTGTATATATTCTGAATTCAGTAAAAGAGTAAACTAGAATATATTTATTTTGAAATCTATTATTGTATGAACGATTTTATAGAAAGAAGCATTTTATGGCAGTACACAACAGGCAGCAATAGGTATGTTTCACTTATTTGAAGACCAGTAATAATACATTTTCATTTATTTTCCACTGGACACGTTGAACTAGTCATCATAAATTATTGATAATTTTTATTTGTGTGAATGTGGTTTACTTTTGAATGAGAAAGGATCCAATTTAATTTTATATTGTAAATACAAATTTAGTGTTTTGTACATATTGACTAACTTAACTATGATACATCCTACTTATTTACATTAAAGAAATTTGAAAACCTTGATCTTCCGTTTTTGTTATTTTCAGTCTTCTCAGAATCTTTATGTACCTACGACCGGGCGTAAAGTAGCAGTCTATCGCCTGGGTTTGCGGGCGCAAAGTAACACTTTAGATCTCTAGGGTGATAAAGTCGGTGTCCGCGGCAAAGTAAATTTACTGTTTTTCCAGTAATTTCCAGTAGACTAATGATCTTCCTTCGCCAGTGGCATTCATAATTTGGCCAAATGAATTCAAAATCATCAATGAATTCCATATTGACAGTTGATAAATATCTAAAACGGTCGTGCATAAAAAATTGTTGGTATTTCCAGCAAAACTTGCTATTTACACGCTGCGGTCCATTAAAGCCTACTTCACGCCATTGATACATAAATAACTATATTATCCACCACTTTTGTTATCAACTGCCCTTGAGTAATTCTGGATTCACTGAATTCCCCCAACTTCTTGATCAGAAAAAAATCCTGAATCTTTCGAATTCCTCATACGGTCGTCAAGCAGTTCTGGAAGACTTCTTGGGGTGTTTTACCAAGGGACCAAGTGAAATTAGCTAAGCCAGATATAAGTTGAGCTTTCAACAAGGATCTTTCAACGAATTCTGACTTCAAGGACAAATAAAACTCAAAAGATAGAGATATCACCGTATAGCTATGAAAATTGACACGTTGAATTATTCCGTATATGTTGCTTGTCTGCCGTATTAGCATCCCCACAAAAACTTTCGAAGGCAAAATTATGGAAAACTCATTTCCATCATTGTAAAAAACAGGAATTAGACAACTTTCAAGTATCAGCCAGCAAGCAGTCTTTTAGATACTTGCGCGATCCACTCGTGCGTTAGTTGATGTGTCAAGACGAGAGCCTATAGTTCTCGAACCATTCCCAAATCATGTGGGGATGGTTCGAAAGATTTAGGCACTACTGTGTCAAGTGCATAATGACATCCTTATCGTTTGGTCATGTTCTATGACTGTTATCTTGTCATACTTGTCAAATGTCGATATGTCAATGTTATTATTCGTCTTCTTGACTTTTCGTTGTTTTTTAAATGTAAGGTTGTCCAAAGATAAATATTATAATAAGATATTTCCAGAAATTATTAATTCATCACAAAATATTTGCAAGTGTACCCACAAAGGAGAATGGCTGATGTTTTATCTGAAACTGTCCCACCAGAGGATCTAAAAGTAAGTTTTCCTATCTTCACCGTCACCCCCACATATAAACATGACATGAGTCATGTTTGATAAATGTATTTGATTATAAAATTGTTTTTGTATTAGAAATTCGAGAAGATCTACCATGAGCAGCTGTATAAAAACGATGTCACTCCTAAGGCACAATTTGAATATGCTTGGTGCTTGGTCAGAAGTAAATATCCTGCTGATATCCAAAAGGGCATAATTCTTCTAGAAGAACTCTATAAAACCAATGAAGAAGGTCGCCGAGATTATCTATATTATCTTGCAATCGGTACTGCTAGGTTGAAGGAATATTCTAAAGCTATGACCTATGTTAGATCTTTCCTTTCAATAGAGCCAGGTAAGATGTCAAGACAATTTTGTAATTCAAATATACTTGAAGATGTTATATTTCATGATTATGTTTGTAGGAAATCAACAAGTCATATCTCTAGAACAACAGATAAAGAAGAGGATGGAAAAAGAAGGTTTAGTTGGTATGGCATATGCTGGAGGAGTAGTCTTAGCTGTTGGAGCCATCCTTGGAGTTGGTTTAGCAATTGCTGGAAAAAGCAAATCATAGTTTCACATATTCATTCATAACCTATCATTTATTCAGGATTTTAGCTACAAAATGTATGTATTCCTTCATGGATTAGTAATGTTTATACCAATTGCCTGATGTTTTTACTAGTCAGTAATTACCAAACATAATAATTCCATACATAATATTGTTTTCATGAATTATTCATTGAACATCAAATGTGGGAACGGGCACATATAAGTTTTGAAAAATATATTTGTCAGGGTTATAGATTATTTTTTCAATCATTTGTGATAGTAAATATTATTTAATGTAAATAAAATGATGTATCATGTTTGCAACTGTGTAATATTAACTATTTTCAATCCTTGTTTATAGGCATGAAAATTATGTGATCAAATGAAACAAGAAGACACCATGAGGTAAGACTTTTTATTTTGTTTATTCAAGTTCAGTCCACTTCTTTCCAATGAAATGAATAAACTAATTCTCAGTGATATGAGTAAATTGAGAAGTTTTCTTGACAGTAAACTCTATGGAATGTATGAAATACATTCTAATGTGTAGAATTATGCTTATTGGTATGGTGACTAACAAACATGAACCATATAGTGGCTACAAAGGACATTGTTGGATATCCAAATGAACTTTAGGATAAGTTTAGATTGTGTTTACACAAAATTTAAGTGAATTATGGAACTAATTTTCACTAGGATAATACATATATGGCACAAACTATAAACGAGTCTTTCCAAACCAGTGAAAATATATATCCTAAAAGATATCTATCATTTTTGATGGAATTATTCATTTACTTGAGTGATTGAATCTGTTCATTATGTCTCAAAAACATCTAGGATCACATTTGAGTAGCAAATTGATGTTATGTAATATTCAGGAAGACAGAAGCAATGGGAAAATGCTTTTCATTCTCTTATGAGTATCCTTCTCATGAGTAACAAGAAACAAAAAATATTTTCAGCAATCATATCCTTGAATCACTAATATTAACCCATGAGTCTCTTTTCAAACTGTCAATTTATACTTCAAAACAAATAAAACCACAGGATAATTGAAATTTAAATTTTATTCAACATGAATCTCTCTTATACAATAAAATTTTGATAATACAAAAATTATACAATATTATTCTATCACAGCCGTTTTAGCACACACAATATTATATTGGTCTACTAGGTATCTTAAGTTTATTATTTTCAAAAAGTTGTTCCTCCACAATTCATCAACAGCAAAATACTCTAATTTGAGGATCGATTTTTCGAAAAATGTCCAAGATGAGTGAGTGTACAAAATATTTGAACTTAATATGAAAGTTACTCTACAAGAAAAAAAAACTGAATCAATATGACATGATTAAGTTTTGTATTATTATTATCAATTTGAAGGCAATTTACAAATTACTCAACATTCCCATTGGGAAAATAGAATATTCTCTGATCCTCCAACAATAATAGATAGGTATTTATTAACTCGAAATTTAACAATGATATATATTCTGTAAACAATGCATTACTTCATTCCCATTTTACAAATGCAGTGAACAAAATATGTACATCTAACTTCATTAATTAAACTTATGTTTGTAAATTACTGATTTATTGCACAATAATATGCATGAAACAATATAAAACTATATACATTGAAGCTACAATTCCCAAATTAATGTCAACTAGGAAAATATCTGCTTCATTACTTATTCAAATTCACTTCTTTTTTGTAAAAGAACTATCTAGGTAGGTATGTAAAAAAAGATGAATACAAAAGCTGTAGGGCTTCATCCATATTTCATCAGGTACACTCAGTGTTAAAAATGGTTATAGGTCTAGCGGTGATAGTTTTAGAAATTTTCGAGCTTGAAAAATTCAATAAATATTCAATATTTCGAAACTTCTACTAACGAAAATTGAGTTCAGACAGAAGATCTATACCAATGCTGTTTCTGGTTTAGGATTCTCAATAATTTTTCTTTCTCAAGATTGTTTTAGATTTTGACAAGTTTTAATCCAATAAAGTGGGTTACTGGTTCACTGATTTACTTCTTTTAATTGGCTTTGAAATTATTACTATAGTATCTTCAAGTGACGTCACTATATAAGAAGTTGCATGGTCATCTGTCCAGTTCAATTAATGTTTAGCTGGACCTATGAACCCAAAAAGTCTTGAAAAATATACAGGATGATCCATCCCTCGTGGAGCTTGAAAAATACCTGGATTCTTATTTTGAAACAAACAAATAAGTAGGTGAAACCCTTCAGCTTTTGCATTCGACTTATTCCCACCATATCTCAATATCGTCATTCATCTCGTCATCATCTATCACATTCCGTCATCATATACAGAAAAATAATACAGCTGTACAACCCTCGGTCTGGTCTGCGTCCCCATAAAACTGGGAACCCCCAAAACCACCGAGCCTATCGGTCCCCCTCAGGGCTCAGCTCCTGATCCAAATTCATCGAGCCTCAGCAGGCTCCTTGCTCGTCGACAGTCAAAGCGAGGCCGTGGCAGTGAAGTTCTGCCTTCTTCGGAGTACCCGCGACTTGTACAAGTCCGACTTGTGGCACACGACCACAGTGCCCCCTTGCGTCGTATTCTGGGAACTCTTGTTGTGATTAGCTGTCCCTATCAGAGTACCGAACATCTTTGAAACCGAAAACTTTCTCGTTTTTTGGGTGGATTGGGCGGACCGACATTCGGCCAGCAGAGCATCAATGGAGGCGTAAATGGCGGAAGAGTTGTCTGCTACTGAGACCTCGTGGAAGTGGCAGTTGTTCTGGATCGCTACGGTATGGCCTTCTAGTTCCTCGATCTGCAACAAGGAGAAAAACGTCCTAAGAAATCTTGAAAATCATCCCAACAAACATATTAGCTGGAGAGCTCGTGAAACTTTTATATAACGGTTTGTCTGTAAGACTAGAAATTTGTATAGTGATGAATCAAAGGGTGTTAAGTAAGAAAACCATGACCTGACAGGCCTCACCCTTGCACGTCACCATCTCCCATATATTTTAAAGTGTGAAAATTATTGAAAAAATAAACTTGGCGCTGTAAAATTGAAACTTCATTATGATGTTATTTAGATAGATGAATGTGAATGTCGAATGAAGAAAAAAATTGACATGCGATTTTGATGAGCAGAAATATGGGTGCCAGGCGAGTCCAAAAGTGGGGAAAATATAATTTGCTGACCAAAATTAAAGTTTGCTGACCGGACATTGGTGGACGATGCTCCAGGTGTCTATTCAGTCGTATTTTTGCAACGGCTATATCGTTGGAACGTTAATTTCTATGAGAGCTACTCCTATAAGTATCTAAATATTCTGAGATAAATATTTCAAAACATAATTCCATTTGGATGATCTTGGATCATTCTAAGAAGGTATACAATATGTCTGAAAAAGTTGGTAACCAATGGTGAACATTATTTTCATTATCAGTTTTAGGAAAGAAGTCATTCTTTAACACCCTGTATATCTGACATTCTAACGTCAGTAGACTCCAAGAAGTTATAAGAACGCCTGTCTAGTTTATCAATCTTCCTATAGCCACCCATCTAGCCATCATGTCTTGTGAAAATTTTAAAAATAATTGAACAATTCACGGATAAATGTCATCAATGTGTTCGGTTTTCTTGATTAAATGTAAAAAATGAGTGATTTAAGTGAACACTGACTATATTTATATGTAAGTAGATATTTAATTATTTCCCAATTTCTCAAACCATCGCTTTTTAATAGGAAAAAGTTGCTCTTATCTATCAAAAGCAAAGCTCACCTTGCTAATTTGGCTGATATGATAACATTCAACCAGCCATATGGTTTTAAATAAAATATACCTAGTAGCCTTGCATGATTATATACACCTGTATACACTGAATACTCAAAGCTAGTAGGCAGGTACTAATAGAGCTCTTGAAGCCAGTCTCAGTGCTTACATAATGGTAGGCTCAACGTATATCAATCATTATAAATAGTATGAATGGGTACAGGTAAGTAAGTATCTTGGGTATCTTCAGGTATCTTTCTACTTTAATTTATTACGCCTTATTCATTACGTGAGCAGTCACAGATGTTATTTTGTCTGTTTTTAACTAAATTTATTACCTAAATACCGCATTCCGAATTTGCCAAATTGTATATCAGATGGTTGGTAATAAATATCGCTGAAAATATTCGTTTAGTAGGTACACGTAACACACACCCAACCATTTGTTGTCTGTGGATGAGGCATCAGAGGTGTTAAGAAAATAAACGATTCCGAATCGGAATGCTATCCGGCATGAATAGTTATCTAACGGCCGTTTTGGAATTCAACTCTTCGATTTTGAATACCGGGACATAATCACGTTTAAAATTAGAGAAGTGCATTGGCCTATGGAAAACGCGAGTATACAGCATGCATACACATCATAGAGACAGGATAAAATGTTCAATAGGCCTTTGTGTTTATGTTTAGGACGCATGTGCTTGTTTTTAGATCCGAAATTTGATTGGGTAATGCGGAGGTATAGTTCCGACTCAAAATTCTGATTGGTCATTTCGAATATGGCGGTTTTTATTGGCGTTATTGACGTTCTGTCAAATGTCAACAGTGTCAACCACCATGGACCATGGGCATTCGTCATTGAGAAACAACAATAACAACACCTCGTATTTTCGTTCCTATATTCCGGGTGTGTATCAATTGTTTTATAATAATTGAATTCGAAAAAACGTTACTTATTCGTTACTGAGGAGTGTGGTGCAAGTGTTTCGGTGAAAATGGCGCTACTGTCGTTGGATGCGAGATGTAAACAGAAATAGTCATTTGTCATCTCAATGAAAAGGCCTATTAATGATGGTTAGCTTTATGGAATGTAGGAAAAATTGAATTCTAGTCAGTATTGATTGAATCAGTCAACAATAAATGGCAAGTCTTGTGATTTTGGAGCAGTTCAAGTATTGTATTATTGTATTCCTCTTAATACCATTTCACTTCATTATACCTTTATCTCTTAGTCTGAGTTTCATGATCTCATTTTATCTCAATCTTCATCATCATCATAATCAACGATATGATAGGAGGCGGGAATCTTCACAACCACACAGAACAGTCCAGGGAGAATATCTATACCACGTTTTCTGTGATTTGACATATATTTGAATGAGCTCACCTCACCAACTGGAGATTAATCAATTGTTTTTCTCTAATCTTCAATTCCAGAACTGAACACCAAATTCTGGAGATATCAATATGAAATATTATATGGATACCATATGTATATGTTGTATTTATAGAACTCCTGAGTATCAACAAAATATCAACAACTCGTATTCATTCATATGAATGTTATGAAAAATGAAGCCATCACTGTCACGCCTGTTTCGATATACTTAAACTGAAACAGAACAGGCATATATCACTCTTCTCGGCTTTTGCAAAATGATGTCTTGATGTCCAAGAGATTGACGAACTAAATCGAGAATCGCGAGACTCATTTGCGGAGTATTCGAGTCAGTATAAATATTTAACAATCGGTAATCGGTTGAGTAAGTGGGTTAACATATCAGATATTTCAATAATAATCATGTTTACGTTCATTAAAGTTATACGGATTCCCTCTGAATTTATTTGAAAGCAAACATGAAATCTGGAACTGGGACTGGCATATATTTTGGAATAGGTAGGTAATATTAATATTTGTGCACTGGAATGTCACTTTTGATCCTGATGATATTCATCAGTGTGGTTTTGTTTTCGATTAAATTCTGGTTTTTACTTTTTTTTTAAATAGTTTTCGACCACTTGAGTCTGCGGTAAAAGTCCATGCTGTAACTGGTGTTGGCAATATGGCCATTCACATCTATTTTTACAAATTGGATCATTACAAACCAATTTTTCATGTCAAATATTTTGTTTGCAACTTTATCATGAAGTGATTGCGGTAAATTTTTATTCAAAATTATTTTGATAACAACAAAAATCACTCAAGGTGGGCAGAACTACAAAATTATTTACAAAAACATGGAGGTGAAATTGTTGAAGCCATTGCCGATCGTCATAATCTCATAAAATGAAGGGCCCCGTGCCCTGAGAGCACATATATTTGTTGAGTGAAAATATTAAAACCCCGATGAAAAATTTGAAGGACTATTGCTGGACAATGTCCAACAAAGACCATTACGAATGTCATCAAAACGGGAAAATATGAGACCCATACCGAGGAAAGCGCCCTTAAATTACAAATAGCAATTAATAAATCTTGAATTGATGTGTCTGAAACACGTGTTAGATCTAACCAAACTGATTAGAAACACATAATTAAACAGAAATTGATACTGAGGTCAATAGCTTCTAGTTTTTGAACTCGTTCTTGGCGAGTTTTATAAACCGCAAATTTCACTATACAATGACGGTATTCCAAGAATTCAGACATTCTGGAAAATATGTCGTAATAGTGCGCGATTACAACCACATCAAAAGAAACATAGGAAAGTTTTTCATATGAATTCAATAACAAATCAAACTCATACTTTTCTGCATATCTCACATTTGGCTCGGTGTATTTTTATCCGTGAAAAAATCGAAATGGAATTTGAGGCACAGTATATATAGCTCTTTATTGAGGGTCCAGATTTTCTACGACCGAACATGAATTCTTAGAAATTTCCCAGTTTTCTTTGTAAGAAATAGTTGTTGGTTGGTACACCGTTGCCAGATTGTCTATAAAATCTCAAGTTTTCGAGCATCCTTTCGACATCGATTCTTACCTGTCTGAGGTGTTCGAGATCAGCTTTGTTTCCCAGCAATACCGTAGGGATCTGGTTTCTGAGCTGCAAAACTCTTTGAAGCATATCTGCGGCTTGGGTGAAGGAATTTCTGCACGTTATGTCGTACACCACTACGCATGCGTCAGCCCAATAGATGGCCTCTTCTGGAAACGCTTGAATTTCGCCGCTGCATACGTCCACTATTTCCACGTCCAAAGAGGAATTGTTCACGTTCAGGGTTTGTTTGTATAAAAGATCTGTAACAATATAAACAATGATATATAAGTTTCTGGAAACAAAAAGACGATAGACATTTTTCGTTTCTATCAGATATCGATATCTTCTTTATGTATAGTTACTGAAATACACATCATATACGTACATCGAAATGTATCCACCCTGTATACATTGTTTTGTAGCAGGACTTTAACAAAAAAATATGAAGTTCAACTTCAGCTCCTAGGAACTGAAAGAGTTGCCTAGCAACATACCTATGTTTGTGTCAGTGATAGAAACGTCAATTCAAGAGTTGATTTTATGTAGGTTGCAGAGAATTTTTCGTACATATGATGTCATGAAACTCAGTGGCAATGCTTGAGAAAACACAAAAAAACTGACACCCTGTACATATTGAAAGCATAACAATTGATCATATGGAACAGTGAACCTCTGAACAGTAATAACAAAGGATGAGTATAATCATTTGATGTATGATTACTCATCATTTGTTATTACTGTTCCGAGGTTCACTGTTCGTTGAATAGAAACATTACCATATTTTTGATGAAAATTTGTAGATCAGAATCCCGAATATTTTCTGATTGTGAAACCTGTCTTCGCTGGTGACAGCTCTCATACGATTGCCAGATTTCGAATTTATCCTCAAAATACGGAAGTGGCAGATACTTTTGTAACCGTTTTCAAAATCAAGATTTCACAATGCTATACTTTCCATGAAATAAATAACAATATTCGAGCCATTCGTTAGAAGATATATATATTTTTAGGCTATATAAATAGAGCTGGAGTGTTTTACATGCTGTAGAAGTTACTCAAAAATGCCATCAGAATTTGATATTCAGATATTTTACTTCAACGTGTTATTGTTATATGTATAGGTAGGCATATTGAAAAAAGCATAATCTTGTTTCAATCGATGGAATTCACAAATAATTTTCTCATGTGAAGTTGAGTCACTTATCATGAATGTACTGGTGGTACCTATCCTAATCAATTAAATAAACTGGGTCGTAATTTAATGTTGCACTCATTTGATGAATAAATTAGCAAATTAGCAGGTGATTCAAGACAAACCCAATAACATAATATATGTAGGAGGTTATTTTTGATACATAGGTACTTTGAAACTAGGTGACTTCAATGTCTATTCTCAACAAGTTTTGTTTCACTTACGCGATATATACCAGACCAAATAATGAATGGAGAGCAGATCGAATATTTGTTTCTCATAACATATTTAGACGATTTCCATAATCAAGTGAGTCAGACAAATAAACCTATAATCGATGTCAATGAATATTTCTACGATTATCCTACATTTATTATTTATTCTTCTTTCTATTTTACTGAAAAATACCTACTGACATTATGCAAATATAAAAATTTTGTGAACAAAAGCCGTTTGAAACAATCAAACCTCTGCTTGTTGCTGATAGTGATAGTTCGTTTCTCCGTTTTTTGTGTTATTGCTTACCATATTTGTAAAATCAACGACGAAATGTTCTAAGTTCAAAGGTGAACAACTTTTACAACAGACAAGAAAACTTTCATCTCCAATTTTCAACTATCGAAATTCATTGAAAATTCTGAAATCCTGGACCTGAACATTTTGTGATTTTGAAGTTATGTGGTGTTATGATGACGATGATGATGTCTCATACTGATTATAGTTTCACGACTTTATCAAGCAAAATGTACCAATATTCTAGGTTTGTTGTTGCAACTCGTGCATTTCTGACTCAGAGTCGAAATTAATGATCTCCTAACCGCCTCATTTGCATCCAGGAATTCAGGAAATTTCGAAATAGGCCGACCTCCCTGGATTCTAGCTGAAGGTTGTACGGGCCTACTTGATTCCAGCTCAATCGCGGTTGACTCAGTGTCAGTGACTCAGTTAATCAGTTTCAGTTTGGCTGATATTTTGTTAGGAAGTCGGAAAATACAGGGTGTCCCTCAAATGTCCCTACAAAATGATACAATAGACTCCTGAGACCAAAGTGAGATGATTGAACCGAAGTTACCTCTATAACAAAACGCTCCGTTTATACATAGATCTAAATACACATCACGTTTATACAACCGCTACAGGGCGTTGGAAATGATTTTTGTTTCTTCGTATATTTCAATATTGTCTATAAATACCGTTCTGAAATTTTGTAGACCATCGCTGTATCTTTTTTAATTTTTTTCAGGTTATTCAATTACCTACGTAACGTTTTGCATTTATTGATTCGATGAAAGTGACATGAATTTTTCCAGAGTTTAAAATCAGGGAGAATATATTTTGCATAGTATTGCCATTGTTAGGTATATTATAAAAAGTATAGATACTAGTCCGATTCTGAAACGGTTTTGTTTCATATTATGTATAAGTAATAATTGTTCGAGAATAATGAGACAGTTTATCTGCTCTGTCCATAAAGTTTGTGTTTTCAGTTCTACAGGGAGAAACATAGAACCATTACTAAAATGAATATTTTGGAAGTTATCCCAATATAATGAAACACTTTTCGAATTATTTTCTTAGAGAATATTATTATTGCTAGGTGCATGATGTGTTTCGTCGAAACGGTTTCGAGTTTTTTCGCTAGCAGACTTCATTAACCGCTACATTTTTTATAGAGAGTTGATGTTTGTAAGGTCAGCTGATCTGTTTATGAAATCGATAGGAAGACATCACTTCAATTTCTTTGATATTTATGAACGAATTTCGATTCGAGATACCAAAGAATCGTGAAATTCATAGTCATGCATATTATGATTTGAACTTTGAAAACTCTATTCTAATCAGATTCGTAAAAACAAAGTTATATTTAAAATATCATTAACAATCAAAATGGTTGTGAAATAGTATAATTAGAATTAATTTCATGAAGAGGAATTGAAACAGAACTACTCTTTGACAGTCTCAACTAGCTAAGAACATTTTTAATAAATTAAATTTCAATTTCACACTTTTCAATCCTGACCAGAATAGACTGTCTTGATGAATTGAAAAACGATATATGAATCGTATCATCATTGGAAGTGGAATCAATCAATGAAAAACAATATTCGTTGAAAGACACACCCAATCTTATACTATTAATACCTACTATTATTATCTATTTGCATCAAATCATAAGCCAAGTTTTGCAAATTGCATCTGTTATTCAAGATTTTGGCAACATTCATCTGCCTTTTCATGTGTATCCTATCAAGCCACTTTTGTTTTTTCCACGTTTATTATTTTTGTTGTCCCTGCTTACATTAGACATAGTTGAGGTGAATCAATATTGTATGTCACTTGAGGAAGCTATATACTGTGTTTTTATGACTTATACGTAAATTTTATTGTTTGTGAACTCTTGCATTTTTTCAAAATAGAGAAATTGGCTAAGATAAAGGATGTGCTGAACTCCAGCAAATATTATTTGCTTAATGTTATTTTTATGAGGTCAGTGTTTTTCGATTGTCTTTCAATTTCTGGCTGCATGATGGTACACATATTTTTCTATTTTTCAATTGCTGCAATAAGGATATTTGAAAATAGACCAATTCAAAATCTTTTATTTGTATATTTACTTCTTTTATGGTACACGCATCTTCCTTTCATTTTGACGTTAGTATACGTGTTCTTTGTGACTCTCAATTTATGGTAAACATTCAAAACACACACATGCAAGGTGCATATAGTATATACCAAGAGTAATCATTACAAAAAATGTCATATTTCCGGTCCAAAAATATTAATTATTCCTGAATACGTCATTCCCAAACCGCATCTTTTGCCAAATATATCTATTCGAGATTCTTTTTATTTTTTCTAAACAAGCAAACTGCGCACTGGCAAGACATAGCTAGAGTTATGAGCATCTAAAAATACATAAATTTTTTCGTGTGGATAAAATCCATGTGTGCAGAAAAAACAAAATGAATTCTAATGGATTCCGCACATCTTTTTCTATTTCTTGAGCATAATTTTATTATTTCTCATGGAGGACAACACTGTTGTATTTCTGGTATAAGTTTATTCAAACTTCCTTGCTTGATATATGCGCCTAGAAATTCTGGATCAAATATTATTAGTCCAATTGATGTCAACTAACTGTTCATATAAACGGTGAAAATTTCAATTGAAATCATCTAGTTTTCGAGCTATCAATGAAAAATTCACTCTTTAAAAAGCTCATCCCCCTGTATATCCAGTCTTGACGATAATAAAAATTGCAGAAATATCGATATACTCTTGGAAAGGTTTATCTGTCTTATGTACAAAAAATTAATTATTTACCAAACAATCGACGTTCGTAATGATGCAATCACAAAAAAATGTTTGCTATCTGATAGTCGAGAAGAGAATCACAAATATCAAAAAAATATCGACAGTTCTGTTGTTCTGCATGTAAACAACATATTTCCTCACAAACAACAATTCGAAGAGAGCTCATCAGTGTTTGGAAGAGGTCGTGTGAAATTCTAGCTCAGCCTAAATAATTGCTTGTTATGTATTGAAGTTTTTTTTTCTAGTGTCTCAAGGTTGTATACAGGGTGCCCGGTTTTCGAGATCCACCATGGGGATCTCAGTTATTATAAGAGATACGAGGTCGGTTAAATTAGGTCAAAGTTGTGCATTTTCATGCCGAACATTTATCTGCAAAAAAATTAAATGTGTTTTTTCCACTTTTCGAATTATTTGAAGGAAACGAAAATTCGTAATTGAACGTTTGAGTTATGACGTCCGCGTCTTTTCAAATGTCGAACACCCTATATTATTGAATTGTCGGAATCCTCATGGAAGACTGAATCCAAAACTATATCACACTCAGGGTTTGTATACAGTGCGACTGTTAAAGTCGGTGCTATCGTGAAATGGCGTTGCCAATAAAAAATACCGATGAAATGATATGAAATATTGAGTTCAAATTTTGTTTTCAGGTATTTCAGCTACGTTTGAATAGGAAAAAAAATCCTCATAGTTGTTTTTTGAAAATTCGTTCCCTTTAAGAAGGAAACAATAGTAAGTCATGAACATATGAGTATTTCAAAAGAGCTCGTTGAGAGTACTATGTTATAGAATTTTACTTTTAAATCCCACACACTCTGTATATGAAAACGCCGCTAACTCTTCCATTTCTCATCCATGCAATGTCAGAAAGTAAAAATCCTATTTTTGTTTTTGTTTTAAGAAACAATCATATTTTCTGATTCGTTGAATTTAGCTGGGGCGTTTTTATAATCCAAAATATCTTGATATTTCCTGCTGCTTATATTGAGTACGACAGAAAAACATTTGAGGCTATGTTGAGAGTTTGAGAACGGAATACAATATGACGAATAGAACAGTTGTTTTCAACGGCAAAACCGAGAAAATGAGTGATTGAAATAATCATCCCAAAAATTTGGCTAACGCTTTCACTGGCCTAGCCAAATTCATTCAGGTTTATTTCTGTTCGGATATCAAGTTCTCAGAAAAAGTGAGGCACTTTTCCGTTTTTGAATGAGCTAACAAACATCCGATGAGTCGATGAAAATGCGTGTATAAAAATTTGCAAGACATACATAATTAATTGAGAATGTCTCACCTGTGTTACTTCTGTATTCTCCGATGAAACGTCTAGTCAAATATCGTACGGTGAGAGCTGAAAAAAAAACAAAAATCCTTATGATATTTTTATAGAAAAAATGGAAATGGCATCAGTTAGTTATTTTCCAGTGAATTCTAAGAAATCTTTCCTGGATTATGGAAATGAGTATCGGAGCTTATACGCGTAAAAATGTGTTCTAGAATAAGAGTCGAAGACTCCTATCATGAACGAATAAATGTGGAAACATACAATGTAAACATCCAGAAAATAATAGGATTTCGACATCAGATATGAGCATGAAGAATCCAGAAGCACTGAATTTGATTTGACAAAATCAGAACTATGCCAGTGAGTCATCAGTATCAGTAATTAACACCGATTCTCTGCAAGCTGTTTACCGTCTCGTACAGGTCGGGTATTTTTCCATCATGCTGGAAGACAGCTAGAGTCCAACCAATCCCCGAAAAAGGGAACAAGAACCTGCCCAACAACTAAAGGCCCATTGCCCTGTTATCAGTAATCTCCAAAGTGATGGAGAAAGCCATCAATATTGAGCTTATCAAATATCTGGAGGAATCATCAATGATAGACAATACGGCTTTCGCCACCGAAGGTCTACTGGAGATCTACTTGCCTACGTCACCCATTTATGGCAAGCTTCATTAGAAAAACACGGGGAATCTCTAGCTGTCGCGTTGGACATATCGAAAGCATTTGACCGTGTTTGGCACGAAGGACTCCTCCACAAACTACCATCATACGGCTTACCACCTCAGCTATGCCATCTCTTATCGAGTTTTCTTTCAGGCAGATCGCTTCATGTGGTGGTGGACGGTGTATCGTCTGATACCATTGGCATCAATTCCGGCGTTCCACAAGGATCAATTTTGGCACCAACATTATTCCTTCTTCATATCAACGATCTGTTGGGAGTAACAACTTGCCCCATCCACAGCTTTGCAGATGATAGTACCCTCCATACTGCGTTCTCTTCCAGAATTCCCATTTCTTCCCAGAAAACTATAAGAACTCACTCGGAAATCTCTGCTATCATCCCTTCACTAGCAATACCAGTCAGACGAACTAGGCAAGCCTAGTCAGCACATATTTTCGTTGTCAACCTCGAGAGATGTCGAACAGCACTTTATCAAAACTCCTTCATCCATAGAACGGCTAGGCTCTGGAATTCATTGCCTGAGGAAGTATTCCCAACAACATATAATCTCCAGAAGTTTAAAAAAAACAATACCTACCTCCTATCCCTATCCTCCCTAGGAACGCACGATGTTCTTTGAACATTATAGGGATTCCCTTTCGTGCGCTCCAAGCGATAAAAAAAATCCTGCTTCAAAATTCTGATTTGTAATCAGACTGATCGAAACTTATAAAGGGTGTCTTCTGACCTGCTAGATACCTTATCAACAGTGAAGACAAGATCTGAGTGAGATTGATGAATGTTAGTGGATAGTTGAAATGGAACCCAAGCAATAGGAACCTCTGCAGTTTTTTTTTCACTCATGAGCTAGAATCTAGCCTCAAATTCAAAGAACTCACGAATACATATTCAGATTGTCAAAAACTCTGATATGATTGCATTCAATGCAGATTGAAGGAGGTCCAATGAATGCACTTGGTATGTCCGAAGATTATCGTCAATTTCATACTTTCTGATTAATTACCCCGGTTCTGAACGTTCATTTTATCTTCCATAGCTTATATTCCAATGGCAAGTAATGAAACTCAAGTTTACGGTATCTTATACAAACACCTACAAACCTACAGACATTCCGATCTACTGATCCAGCTCTGAGAATAGCATGATACCCTGCCATTCGTAATTATTGAGACCTGATCGCTTCGGCTTCGGCAATAAAAAATAACTTTTACTTCGTCAAACACGCGATTGAGGCTCGTCGACCTAAATAAATCAAACAATGAGGTTAAGGACACTGGATCACATTTTACCGTAAACAGTGAGTTTATTGCTTCCCCCACATTTCAGGAAGTTATTCCATCTTCCACTAACCACATCTTTCAATTGAAACTAGGATCAGTCATAGATTCATCATGAGGTTGTTCCATTTCATAGTTTCAGGCATCAGAATTCAGAGCCTTTATATACTCTGTCCTGAATGATAAGAGAAGAAACGATCATGTGGATGTTCCTACTTTCACTATCAAATCCAGAACTTGCATCACTCAGGAGTAAATGAAGAAGAAACTACGGAAACGTTTGGGGGGAATAAGGAAGCCTCTCCCCCCAAAAACGTATCATCCTGTAGATTTTAAAAATCTTTAAATGGCTTGAAATGATGATCTTCTAGAAAGTATTGACCACACCAAATTTCTGAGCGATATCTTGAAAGATAAGCGAGATATTTCAATTAATAGAAAAAAATAATTTAACTTTGACCCCCTGTAGCTCCGCTACTAAACGAGATAGGACTAATGTTTATATCAACTTTCTTGATTGAAATGATGAGATCTATCTCCCATTTCAGTTTGTGCCTTAAAACCTGAATCACCCTGTATAAGAAGCAGTATTATATTAGAAAAAATTAGCAAAGAAGTTGAGCAGATATCAGACGGCCAGTATAGAATCTTCAAACTACGAAACAAGCTGAGTTACTACTGCAATACTTCAACCACATTTTTTTTCACTTCAGATTTTCCTTAGAGTAGTACTTTCTTCAACGATTATTCTTTCTCAACGGCCATTCAACTGGAATTTAAATATTCGCCAATTTATTTTTTCTGTCACTGGAGTAACCCTATGTGAACTTGATTGATAGCAACCGAGTAACCGTTCAAATTATTTTCATAACTGCGTCAGTCTTTCACTGTTTCATTTAACTTTTTGCAGTTGTTTACTTCTCGCTTGAATGAATGGAAGCCATATAAACTTTTCGAGACAAACGTCTCAATGTGTGAAAGATTGATTCTTGTAAAAAAACATTTCCTGCAGACAAAGTATTGTTGTGGTAGCAAAGTTTCTTTATTCAATTTACTTTTTGCGTATTTTTCTCGTTCTCACCTGATTTTCCAACGTTAGATTTTCCAATGACTGCAATTCGGACCTTTGGCATGTTATTCTTATCTTCAGTTTTCATCTTCTGTAACAAAATTCTCAATAAATATATCGCCCAAAACATATTTTCATAATAAGTCATCAGCTACTGCTGATAACAGTCTAATGAAAATCTAGTTAAATTGATGAGAACATCTGTTCCAAATTGATTGGTTTTAGGGGAACATCAGTTTTATCACTCATTGATATCGTGCAGTTATTTTTGAGTACAGGTATCGATATGGGTCAACAACATAAAATGTTTTGATTTGAAGGGAAAAATATAACTTATCACTAGGAGTAAAATATACTAAATTTAGTTCCTCTCCAAAACAGCTACTTTATACTCTTTATACCAGGAATGATCAATGATCACCGATATAATGAAACCATTTTTGTTTCAAGTAAGTAATCAATGCAATTACTCACTGTATATTCTGATTGGTAGTTACGTGGGTGATCCAGTCGATTTTTTATGATTCATAGATAACTAGATGAAAGCGTTACTAATCTCATTGTCAAAAAAGCTTCTGAACCCACGTTTTGACAACATCAATGCTTATCTGTGGCTGATAAAAATGAATGAAAATCTCATGTGAAGGAAATAATATCCCTTCACATTGATGAGAGCAAAGCAAAACCCGATAATAGATCATTGTACCAATATTTAAACATTTCAAAATTTCACATTGGATTTACATTTACTTGAAAAAGAAAACTCATTTGGAAACATTTATATATACTCATATAGGTAATTATACTCATTTTGAAAAGTAGGTTGCCCCATCAGCAACACCAATAAAAGTACAAGATGTTCAATAAGTTGAAACCACAAGAGTATCCTTGTGGATTTATATTTTAGTCCAGCAAGGACCTATAAACAATTTATGGCGGAAGATGCTCATTTTTCGCCGATTTCAAGAAAAATATGCAACTTTAACGACTGGTGAGTCGAGTTCAAGGTGTGATGAATTGGATAATAAAATCCAGAAATATCTTAAAATCAATAAATCCCATTTTAGCTGTCAACGACACATTTATTTCTTTCATTCGTGTTTTCAGAATGAGTCTCATTGTCGAGTTTATTTTAAATGAATGGGCAGGACCGGAATAACACACGTCCCGAAAAAATACAGTCTCATTTCTTTTTTGTTTTCACCAGAGATGCTAGCTTGTGTTTTGCATATTTTGGCGATCCCAGTCGTCATAAATACAAAAATGGAGCCAGGAATGCTCTCCCGTGGGTGTTGTTCCTTTTTCTGTGTAAAATACTTCGTGGATTCTCTACTTTTTCACAAAAGAGTTTTGTTAAGTGTTCGTTTTCAAGACCAGTCACGTCTGGTAAGATATCATTATTAGGTCATGATGCGGATTTCAATAATTCTAATAGATTCCAATACCTACCTCCTCTCCCTTTCTTTACTAGGTACGAACGATGTTCTTCGAACATTATAGAGATTCCCTCTCGTGTGCTCCGAGAGATTAAAAAAGCAAAGCAAAGCTTTTCTGGGTATTATAACTGCCTTGATGAAATAAATCAAAATGTATTTAATCCCTTTCACAAATCAATAAATAAATGTGTTTTTTTTTATTTCTCGTTCCCACGAGAAGGGTTATCCTGTAATGTTCAGAGAACATCGTGAGAACCAAGGGAAATAAGGTAGGAATTGGTGTTCTTCTCAAATTTCTGGAGGTTATATGCCTCGGGGAACACCTCTCTTGGCAATGTGTTCCAGAGCCTTGCTGTTCGTTGGATGAACGAGTCTTTGGAAACAGATGTTCTGCAGGTCTCCAAAGTGACCACGAAGGGGTGCGAAGCCTCAACTCGACGGGTTAATCTCGTGGGGACTGCCAAGGGAGAAACAATTGTTGATATTTCAGAAGAGCATCGTCCATGAAAATATCTATAAAATAGAGCCAGATCGCCAACTTTTCTACGGTGTCCCAGAGAAGTGAGTAAGTTTGTGAGCGAGGCATCACCCACGAGACCAATTGCCCTTTTTTGGACAGAATCCAATAGTTTCAGGGTATGTTTGGGTGCTGCACTCCAAATATGGGAACAGTATTCCAGGACAGGTCGGATCTGTGCCTTATAGATCATAAGCAGCTGACTGGAAATGAAATAGCTCCTGGCCCGAAACAGAAAACCAAGTTTCTGGGATGCACTTTTAGCAACTGATCTCACGTGATTTTCAAATAAAGGTTATTGCTGATAGTAATCCCAAGCATCGTAATGGATGTCTTCAAAGGTATGGTTACTCCTGACAAGCTTATGTTGGGCACAGTGAGATCGGCTTTTCTGGACAAAAAGGCATGCTTGTGTTTTGTTTGCATTGAAATCTACCAAGTTATTGGATCCCCATTCGAGAATTTTTGCCAAGTACATATTTATATTGTCAACATTTCTCCCTCGTTCGTTTCTGATTTGCCTGGCTGGAATTGGAGCCTTGGAAGAGAATGCGGTATGGAGGGTACTATCATCCGCGAAGCTGTGTACTGGACATGAAGTTGCTTCCAACAAATCGTTGATATGGAGTAGAAATAGTGTTGGTGCTAGAATTGATCCTTGCGGAACACCAGCATTTAGGATAAGAGAGTCAGATGAAACTCCGTCGACCACTAGATGGAGAGACCTGATGATGTTCATTATCTAATGTTTGAATTTGAAATCTCATACCACGATCCTTTCGTGCACTCTTCAACCCCAAATTATTGGCATATAGAAAAGTTATCTATCCAGAAAAATGTCTGGCAAAACTCGAGACACTATCAAAAGATAAATTGTCCCTTCAGATTCCAGGCAATCTCTGCGGGTGTCCCACATAATGATAGTCGTTTGATTGTACACGTGCTCATCGATTCTTCTTGTCGTGTTCGTAACCACAATACCACAAAACCACATAACCATAAACGTTGTCATTACTGCCTACGAATTCTACGATACGTAAACAACACTGTTTTGTCTAACATTTCCTTTCCCAGACTACATTGTTCTATCGGGCACATGTAGATATATGTGAAGGAGACATGTGTATCCAATCCAGGACCGGCTCTACTCGATTTTCCTCTCTGTTTTGCTAATCAAGGAAAGAGAGGTGTCCTCATTCATATAGACCAAGCGCCTCATGAGTTACCACTAGAATGATATTCCAGGTGCGTTATTCAATCCGATTTACGCCTACCGTCCTTTTAAAAGGCCTTCAAAACGAAAGCTGTATTTTTCTGATCATCTGACGGTTTGAAGATATGTCACATTATATTTAGTTGACATCTTAAACAAGGTCAATCGCGATCGATAAGTTTTGGATCGATAGTGAAGGTTAAAGAACGCTGTGTTCCTAGTGATTTTGATGAGTGACTTAATGTAAGACATGTTGAAAATCATTTATTTTTTCGTTGTTGTGTTCATTATTTTCAACAAATAACATAATATAATTACGTTTTTTTTATATTTGTGGTTATGTTTCACACTTCTCGATCAATCTAGGGGCGTTCAATTGAACGGTCCTTTAAGAAGGACGGTAGGATTATATTCTACTATGCGTTTTTTTGCAGGTATTGGAAAAAGCCACTAACCATGGCAGAGCTCTTAGAGGAATTGAAGAATAACTCAACTACGAACACTCCTACAGGCATTATAATTTTTTGAAGAGAATCACAGCTTTGATGAGGCTATTTGATACTGTATTTTGGGAGACATAGCGGTAAGCAATTTATTAGAGGCAAGAGGTATAGATTTTGAGTAGGTATCCTACGCCTTGGATACATTGTTTATTTGGATCCCTACCAAGGTGCGTCGACAATAATTCCGGACAAATATAAACACATGGGTATGGGAGCGTCAGTTGTTATCCAATATGCAGATGTTTTACAGAAAATGCCTTACAAGCCCTTTCACTTATTTTTGACTATTTTTTCTTTGTCATTCTAAGGGAGCTAAAATTTTGCTAAGCATTTTGTAATATAATATAAACATATTTTTAAATCTTTATTCATTTTTCTAATAGAGGCCCTTCATCCTACCGTCCTTTTGAAAGGACTGTTGTTTTTTCCAAAACTGTGAATCGAAGAAATTTTTTATGATTATTTCCCGACTTATTGGATCTTCTATTGATCGTTTTGAGAAAAAATTTACATAATCGAAAAAAAAATTATTCAGAGTCAAATGGGTTAGTAACGATACGAATTTCGAACAAGTGCCAAAATCTACCTAGAAGCGCCATATTATTACTAGGTTGAAAATACCGCCAAACTGAATGGAATTATGTAGTGAATCTAGAACTTTTGCGTCTGCTGATGGATGCGGATATGAACCATAGGCAGACGGTCGATTTCATAGGGCAGACGATCAAAAAAATGGTATGCAGGTCTCAAGAACTTATACTTATAAGAGTTTCTAGAAAATGTCAATACCTACCTCCTCTCCCTATCCTTTCTAGTGCATGCTAGTACGCACGATGTTCTCCGAATATTATAGGGATTCCCTTTCGTGCACCCAAAGAGATAAAAAAATATTCTCAAATGGGTAAGAGTGCAATGCTTGAACCTACCGTGTTCGTAGCACAAAACTCGAGTTGCCCATCTGAGGAGGTCCCCTCGGCGTGTGTTCATTTCGTGTTTACATTCCTCTGTCGAAAAAAAAAATTGTTACGCAAAAAGTGCCAACAGGCAACAGGAAACCACGATAAATCTCTACAGAGCGTCTCTCTCGTAATCCACTCTAAAGAATATGCGACACAGTGTCGCACTGTATCGCCCACTGGACCCCGTATCGGCGCCTTCAGCTGTTTTGCTGGTACGCAAAAATAGACTCCACGGAATGTCAGCCGTTTGAAGCAAATTTAAGGTTTTGAACGAGATAATGACAGAAAATATCAACAAAATTCACTTCCTCCCAATTCGGCAGGTTGATTCTGATCATGTTTGTCGTGGGAAAAAGAACACACATTCGTCATAACGTTAGAAAAACGTGGAAAAGTGATGCACGTAAACGAATGTTTAGCTAGAGATATCAACAAATATAGTTACGTAGACGACTGAATCATATCTCCTTTTTGCCAATGCCAATCCATGTGAGTTTTCATGATCTCTGGGATTTGTCTCATTGATATAATATAGCTGACCACAGTAGAGGAAGAAAACA